TCTATGCAATTTTATCACAGGCATAGAGATGTGTAACTACAGGACAGTTCCATGGCTAAGTGCCCAAAGTCTATTCTAACTTTTTCTCGTCTGATAATGACTCACAAATAAACACTCTGGCAATAGCCATTCAGTAAGAAATAAATCTAACCCATTGTCCAGGAACATAAATCCACCTGGTCCAGCAAGGAGGCATTAACAGATTGAGATAAAACGTTTTGCTGAAATGCAGGTATGTGGAGCCCGAGGCAGCAACACAGCTTCACATTGGCATCTAAGCTGCCATGCTAATTGGGTAGTGACCCCAAGTGCCTCACTTAACCCCAGGACTCACATTTTCTCATTGACAAAAGGAAGATATTAGTCCTAATCTCACACTTCGGTGGGATTTTATAATCATAAAGTACAGTACGCCTTACTTGTTAACTGCAACTGCTTCCTTACAGGCATGGAAGCTATTAAGTGGGAGTCCCTCATTTTAGTCAGCTTTTCCATCACTGTGACCAAAAGACCTGGCAGGAACAATTTTAGAGGAGGACGTGTTTATTGGGAGCTCACAGCTTCAGAGGTCTCTGTCAGTAGACGGCCAGTTCCATCCCTCTGGGCCCAAGGTGAGGCAGAACATGGTGGCAGAGGAATATGATGTAAGAAAGCAGGTCAGGACATGGCTACCAAGAAGGAGAAAGAGAGAGACTAAGCTCAGTTTACCAGGGACAATATATGTACCCCCAAAACCTGCCCCAAGCTACCCACTTCCTCCAGCCACATCTGACCTGCCTACAGTTACTAGCCAGTTAATCACTACCAGGGGATCATTGCACCCAGGAGGTGAAAACTCTCATAACCCAATTGTTTCACCTCTAAACCTTCTTGCATTGTCTCACACCTGAGCTTATGGGGAACACCTCATATCTAAACTATAACATCCCTCAATTCCGTTTTGTTCTTTTGAAAGATTTAGAAGAGTAAATTTTGGGGAGAAAACATCTGAAGAGAGAGTTGAGTTGCCCCAAAAAATAAAGAGAAATAGAAGACATGGGGCCATGGGGAGAACCCTGGAGGAGAGGTGAAGAACAAGGCTTCAAAGAAGAGCACACACACTCCAGCAAGAGGCAGATTCATAATAGAGGGGATGTGTTACAGGACAGAGTAGGTAGTTGAACCCAAGTGGCCCACAGGACACAAGCAGCCACCCTACTCACACCTCTACCTTGGGAAGTAGCAAAATCTTGCAGCGAAATCTCCCTGGACAGGGGAATCGCAAGGCTGGAAGCCGGTAAGCCTCCAGCTGACTCAGGATTACATACTTCATATTCATATATAGAAATCGTTGAATATTGAGATCTCTAGTTGTTGGATGACTTTTCTCAAGCAGGAAAAAAAGGGGGGGAAGGCTCTTTGTTCTGTTATTCCAACTTTGATCTTTTATTCATTCTCTATGGGCATAAATGATTGTTTATATATCTTCCATGAGTTAAGTCACTCTTGAGGATTTTTTTTTTTTGTTTGTTTGCAGTTGCTGTTATTTCCTGCTGTGGATTTTAACACAGAAGTCTTTCCTTTTGAACTGAAAGTATCAACAACCAGCACCCTACCACTGCCATGTGCTAGATTCCTTTGATTGTGAGCCTTTGGACCCAAGGTTCATGTAGGGCACACAATTAATTACAAGCATGAATACTGTGTGTGTACTGTGTAGGAGGAGAAGCTGAGGTGAGATTGGCTGCTATTTACCATTCCCCCAAAATGCGCCTGCCCACAGCCTCTGTGGAACATGTAGCCTCTGGCTATATTCTGTCCCATGTGACCTGGCCATTCTGGTTCCTTGCAGATGTGCAAATCTACAGCAAGCAAAAGCCTTTAGTTTGACTGATAACAATTTATTTTGACAGGAACAATTTTAGAGAAGGACATGTTTATTTGGGGCTTACAGTTTCAGAGGTCTCTGTCAGTAGACAGCCAGTTCTATCCCTCTGGGCCCAAGGTGAGGCAGAACATCATGGCAGAGGCCTGCCCATAACCTTGGGGTGGCAGCAGGTGAAAACACAATTTGCTCCTGTAGAATTCTCTTTCTTGGGTATTTAAAACCAGAAATGGATAAGAGAGAATGCTGAAAATACATATCAAGGAAGGCATTGGGACAGCATTAGAAGCAATGAGTAGTTGTGAGGAAACCAGAAGTAGAAGAAAGTAAAGTCCAAAGCAAAAAAGAGTATGGAGGAGCCATTTAAAAAAAAAAAAATGATTGCATCACATTAACCTCAACCTGTTTTTACCCAGGATGTGAGCAAGAACAAGCCACTCCCATTGCTTATCTTTTTTTTTTTTTTTTTACTTATAATAGTTGATGAACAACATGCATTTAATTTATTTATTTTTATGTGGTGCTGAGGATCAAACCCAGTGCCTCACACATGCTAGGCAAGTACTCTACCACTGAGCCACAACCCCAACCTCCATTGCTTACCTTTTTACATTCTCTTTTTCCTTTCCCCATCTCCTCACTTCTTGGCTTTAATCCATCCAGATAGAACAGAGCTTTGTTATCAGAGCAGATGGAAATGTGCCACTCCACATCCCTTGAGTTCCCCTTTGTAGGTTGAATTTATGAAGGATGCACTGACCACACCGTCAAGTGTAGGCATAGCGACACACAGCTCTTCCTCAGTCTTCTCAAAATGCCCAGATGGAAATAATGTCTGAGAACTTAAGGTTTTCTGATCGTGGTGCTCTTCTCTCTTGTTGAATCTAATTGTCGCACTAGAAAAAAGAGAGGCTGGTTCCTGCAAATCTCCCTGCGGAATGCTGGCTGTAACACTTCATTAGCGACATAAGAAACAACAAGGTCAGCACGGTGTGGAGGAAGAGGCGATGTGTTTGCCACGGATTCAGAATTGGTGGGTTTATCAGGAAGGGAAAGAGAAATGTACATGGAAGTGATATGACCACAGGTCCCAATATATAGGTGTACAGGGGGGAAATACAGTCAAATACATTTTCAGGATGTGGCAAGCGGATATGGCTCAAGCGGGGGAATTTATAGCTGCAACTGGCATCCCTAACACCATAAAACTGTGCACGGAAGCTACTTTTAGACTTCAAGGATCAAACAGCTAGATTCAAAACACAGATAATAGAATAACAACCGCTGCTTAACAGGGAGTAGGAGATAAAAATAATTTGCAACACTTCACTGGGTCCTACCCCATACCTCTAACACAGCAATCCTGAGCAGTTAATTTATTAGAAATATGTGTTGTTGCCATAGACGAGGGAAATTGCTATCAGTGATGGAAGAAAACATAGCTAGGAGCACCTCAGCCTGCAGCTAAGCCACAGCAAGACTTCAGAAGCCAGGGGAGGTACGGGAGGAGAACAGAGTCAGAGGAACAGATTCCTCCTGAAATAGGATGTCTCAACCTTAGATCGGTAAAAGGAATCTATCTAAAAGGATCCCTATGTCATTTTAAAATTTTATTTTGAAATAAGTCATGGCTAATTATTTTTTTATTTATGAAATAAAAAAAGAATTTTTTGAAATTTACTTATTTCCTGGCTTTGATATCAGCCATGCATCTCACAGACCCCAACACAAATTCTCCTTTCCTCAACCTGTATCTTAAAAGATCTCCCTCCATTGAACCTGAAAAATATTTTGAGAATGATAAAGTCACAGAAATGAAATTTTAAAGCTGGCAGGATATATGCTGGCTAAAGATGACATTTCCAACTACCCCTTCTTGTCAACCCAAAAGAAGCATTGAATGAGGGAGACAGATTTATTGAGATGTTCATAGGCTGGTGTTTACAACACGTTAATGAAGAAATAAAAGGGAACTGGGCTGCCCATTCACAGTCTCCCCTGATACTCCTTTTCATAGACTCTTTGTTCCCAATGCACACAGGAGCACAACGACCAGCAACAAACAGAGTGTCAATGACAGGTGATGAACTCAGATGATCCTAAGGGGTGACAGAGCTTTTGGCCAGGAGTGAGTGAACATTATTGGAAGTCCTGGTTGAAATTAATTAATTTTTAAATTTTTTTTTTAGTTCTTGATGGACTTTATTGTCTTTATTTTTATGTGGTACTGAGGATCGAACCCAGTGCCTCACGCATGCTAGGCGAGCACACTACCACTAAGCCACAACCCCAGCCCCTGAAATTAATTAATTAAAAATACAATTTAAAATATTCCCTCCCATTTTCCTGAAGTCTTCTTCCCCAATCTAGCAAACAGCCACACATTCTTAAGAAATATTTTCATCAATATGTCCAAATATATGTTATTCAAAATAGGATTTTATGTGCAATCGCTATAGGGAACTTTCTGGAAGAAGAAGAAGAAAAAAAAAACTGCCTCCAAATTAGAAGCATAACTGCTTTAAGGTTTAAAGATTTGGCAAAGTATATTGTGGAAAAGAAGAATTCAGCTTACAGGCACTGTGAAGGGACTCAGGATTTCAAATGATTTGCAAGAATAAAGCAAGCAGAAGAGAAAGTGTCCCCAAACAAAGCTACCCAGACCCTTGAGCTTCTAGCTGGCAAGTTGCCCAGCAAAGAAAATAGGATGCTATTGAATTTTTAGGCATCTCAGTCAATGATGGGGGTGGAAGGATGCTGCAAAAAAAGATAATGGGTGAAAGAGAAATGGAGGAATCAGGAAGGGAGGGGCAGATGGATTCTGGATGTAAAAAGTTATTTTCAAGCACAGAAGACTAGCTTAAAAATTACTACCGGGAAAGTATTACACAAAAGATATCCTCAGTAATAAGGTGTGAAGCGTGATACCTGGGTCATAGGACATTCTGTGGCCGAGACCCCCTGAGCACTAAGTCCACAAATAATTAAAAAGAAAAACCCAATCAAGCAGAAGGATGGTAATCTCCAAATAATAAGCTACTTCACTGGGTATTCACACTCTCATCACTGGCCTAGATTTATAAGAAGATCTAATGTAAAAGCACACACATAGTCAAACACACGCATGTCCACTCACCAGGCACATGCCTTGAGGCAGAGCATCCTGTGGCCTGAACTTAGGAGGCGGCAACAGGAAAAACCCACTCGTGAGGGCTTTTCATTGCTTTCCATTTGTTTTTCATCTCCTCTGCAACTCTTCTGATGGTGATTATGATTGTATTTTAGAATCATGATCCACCACTGCAGCAGTGTAATTACATAAATATGGCATCACAAATGAAGGTTAGCACCAGAAATAGCACAGCAGAGAAGGGTGCAATTTGTCTTTGTGGATGCAAGTGTATGTGTATATGTTTATAAGTACCTCCCATTTACATGGCATTTGGAAATCGTTTGTTAGTCCAAGCAAGGAGGGGCATGAGGAAATAGAACAAAATCCTCAGTTGAGTTTTCAGCTGAAGACTATGAAGGCAAAAAAGGACGATTTTTCTGATCACAACAAATGGAAATAATGAGGAAGGCCTAGGCTAAAACTATACTCAGACCCCTCAGGTAGCCTGCAGGTGCTGAACTTGTGGGCTAGAACCAGTCTGAGGCCGACAAGTGGTCCACAGAGCTCTTTAGCATCCCTGGAACCTCAGCTATGTCTCCTTCACACCTCCCTCTCTTAGTTTCACTCAGTCTTGTCTGGGGTTGCCACCCAGAATCTTAAACCAAAAGCAATGGGAACTGATAGCTAAATAACCCAGCTTCTTCCACTTTCAGGGAGATTCTGAAGAGATCATTCAAGTTTCACACCAACTGTGCAGCGGTTCTAAAATATGTTAATTCTTTGAACTTCCTCCATTCAAAAAAATGGAGCCTGATTCTCCATCTTAGTATGGTCCCCACTTGAATCCCCTCAAATATGGTCCCTCAAATTGGGACCATACTAAGTATCATACTAAGTATCATAACAAGAATATGACAAGAGTTAGGTCATAGGGTTCCTAAGGTTAGGTATAGAGGCTGCTTCTCTTCAGGCCACTTCTTCTGATGAAAGTCAGACACCATGTAATGATAACACTCAAGCAGCTTATGAGGTCCACATAGCAAGGAAGTGAGGTGATCAGCCAAAAACCAGTACCAACTCACCAGTCACATGACTGAGTCACTTTGATCCTAGATCCTGCTGCCTCATTCAGGCCTTCAGAAGATTGGAATCCTGACTGCCATCTTGAATCTGTTTAACCTTAGGAGAGATCCCAAGGTTTCTCATGTAGGTAAGTCACTCCCAAATTCCAGATGCATAAAAAAAAATGTGAGTATAGTAAATACATATTGTTGTATTATCATTTAATCTGGGGGCAATAGCTACACAGTAGTAGATAACCAATATACAGTCCTAGTGGCATTGTGTTCAGTTTCCCATGGCTATAACTAGCTCAGCCACTCCCTCACTAACACCTCAAAAAGGAAAGACCTGAACTCACTCAAAATTCTTGTCTCAGAGTTTCTTTTGGAAGTCTAAGACATGCCAGATAAGGCAGATATTATTACTATCCTCGTAATAAGAAAAAAAAATGAGACACATACGTAAAAGTTACACAGCAAAGACTATCAAAACCAGGTTTCCTAAATCTTAACCCACTGCTTCCTGATCCATCACAGTGCCATCTCCCTTCCACCCATGCTCCCATCCTTTGCAGATTCAGACAACCTCCCTTTTCTCCCAAGAAAAAATTAATTAATGTGCTCATTCACTGGGGGCCTCACCACTCATCTTGGTTAAAAATTTAAAACCAGTCTCAGTAAACTCAATAACCAGAGCAGGAACTTCAGTCACTTAAGTCAAAGTGTATTTATTTTTCTTAATAATATTTATACACAGGAGGGAGGAACAATTGGTAAATAATGGATTTTTCTTCCCGTTGACATTAATGCAAAGGCTATATGTGGGCTATGTGTGACTCTGCCTTGTTTCATGTCTGGACTACCGTTGGTGGTATGGAACTGCTGACCAATGTTGCTTGTAATTTATTGAAGTCATGAACAAAGGACCATGCTGTGTGGACAGAAAATGATGAGGATGAGGCCCTTTTGTGCCGTGCTTTCTGTATGGATCAAATAAAATGTACAGCCAACTCATTTGTCAGATATTTAATCATAATAATCATCGTGCTATGTGGTAATTAGGCATAAATGGGATATAAATGACTCTTCTAGCACCGTTTTATGTCAAACAACAATCTTTGTGTTTTTCCTTGGTTACTTTCAAGCATCCATTTCAGTGTCACCGTGGTTGGTTCCCCTGAGTCAGCATGGTAGAGGAGAACACAAATGGGCTTCGAAACCAAACACATCACTCACACATGTGAACTTGATCAAGTCACACTGCCATTTCTGGGCCTCTTCTATAAAACTGAAATAATTGCCTCTCCAGTGGGATTGTTATGAGAACCAAGTGAGAAACTGACATGCCATAGCTCACACAGTGGTCATGTGCAGCAGGTGCTTAGGAAAGGAAGGTCTCCTTCTTGTCTCTTACATCAACATGACTTTCACATACATAATATCAGAGGTTCTCAATCACCTCTCCAGAAGCTAATCTTTTCCTGCCCCAGATGACACCCCCAAGAACATCTGCCTTCATTCTCCAAGTCTCCTTGTCCCATGTTAAAAACCCAAACTTATTCATACTCTTTTAAAAATTTACTTATCAGATGAATAAACATTTATACAAACTTTTTTTGTGTGTGTATAACCTGACAAACGGGTCCACAGTACAAATAAAAAGGTTTAAAATGCACCTGGGAGTAGGAGTGTCCTCACTTTAGCATGACTGAAGTCTAGTTACAGGCAAATGATGAGGGCAATTTCTCTTTTCATTTGAAAGGATGTGCATGGTCAGGGAGGTTCTGCCACCTGAATGGGCTAAAGAAAGAGAACCATGCTGTGACTGCTGGTGGTGCTCATTTAACAGGAGGCAGGTCACAGTTTGGAGTAACTTAGCAAAAACACCCAGATGGAAAGTGAGCCCAACAGTATTCCATGTTCTGACAGCTCTGTGCCTTGGCAGGTACTGTGAAGTTGGAGAGTTCCCCTCTCTACAAGAAGAGATTTGTGAAAGTGCTATCCATAAACACAACAGCTCATGACAAAGGCCGCAATGGTAACAACCTCCACTTACTAAGGGCCTGGTATTTATTTGCATATGAGGTTAACAAATCACTTTTATGTCATGCCTCATTTTGTCTTCCCAGGTGAATGCTTTGATTAAGATGGGTAAATTGAGACCCAGAGAGGTTAGATGTCAGTTCCAACAGACCTATAGACAGAAGGCAAAGTAATCATATCTAGCGTCTTAATCCCAGATTCTTTTCTTTTATCAGATTCTTCTGACTAATAGTTAGCATGTTTGAAGATACATAGAAGATAACTTGTGAATTCTCCAATTGGTTTTTTTATTCCCCTAATTTGTTTTTAGTTACAGTGACAGACATCCACATCACAAAAGTTGGCACAGAAATCACTTTAATATAATTGTTTAGTGATCTTTGGAAAAAATAAAATAAATTGTCATGAATAAAGAGACTATTTCACAGGGTCCAGTCATTACAGGTAGTTGTGTTAAGTTCACTGTAGGTGGTCCAGTGAAAACAGGCTTATTCTTTTAAGCAGTTGTAGAGGCAAACTTCTTCAATTTATTCCTGTAATTTCCACAGAAGCAGGAAAACCTTTACTGGGTCAGCTGTAAAGCAAACTGAGAGGTGTTTTCAACTCCCCCGCCACAGTGCAGAGATTTGACCAGAAACATCAGATTTACCTGTGAAGGCCTCAACCTCACCAGACAAGAACAACTTCCAAATGTAATAAATGAAAGAATCACTTTCAAAGTAACAGACTGAGATATGAAGTACAGCAAATACAAACCAAATAGGTACTTTATCAGAAGCAGGGGTCCCGGCCCTACAGGGGTACACACAGAGCAGTGGTCCTCAATCCTGGCTAGCCAACAGTGTTTTCTGGGGGCTTAAAAAGAAAAACAACACCCAGGTCTCAAATTATTGACAATTAATTTTTCCCAATTAATCAGGAAATTCTGGAAGTAGGACAAGACATCAGTATATCCTTTAAAGCTTTTGAAGTGACTCCACTCTGCAGCCATTGCAACAAACCCTATGATAATGGAATCCAAAGTATTCCACACTTGCTTGATTTTAGAATCACCTGAGGTTCTGATTAAAAATTCAGACACATGGTCTCTGATCTATGTCTCAACCAGAATTTCCCAAGCAAGAAGATGGGAATACACATTTTCAACAAGAGTCCAGGGATTCTTATGATTAGATAAGTTGGGTAAAATCTCATATTATTTTTCAAAAGAATCAACAGGGTGAAAAGGTAACCTACAGAATGAGTAAAGAATATTTGCGAATCACATAACATCCAGAGTATATAAAGAACTCCTATAATTCAACAACAAAAACAAATAAATGAGCGAAGGACAGGAATAAACATTTCTCCAAAGAAGATACACACATGGGCAACAGCATATGAAAAGACACTCAATATCACTAATCATTGGAGAAATCAGATCAAAACCACAGTGAGCTCTGAGGAAATAACTCACACCCATTAGGAGGTCTACCAAAAAGGGAGGGTAGAAAGGAGGAAGGAAAGAAGAAAGGAAGGAAATATTAGGCATCCAGGAGAATGTGAAGAAATTGGAACACTTGTGCACAGTTGGTAGAAGTGTAAAAAGGTTCAGCCACTATGAAAAGCAATATGAAATTTTCTCAAAATATTAAATATGAGTTACATGTGACCCAACAACCCCACTTCTGGGTTCATACCTCGAAGAATTCAGAACAGGATCTTGCATTGATACGTGCACACCCATGCTTCATTGTAGCCCTATACACAGTAGCCAAGAAGTGAACCCAATCCAATGTCCCCTGACAGGTGAGCAGAAAAAGAAAAGGTGGTATGTACATACAAGGAAATATTAACCTTTAAAAAGGAAATTCTTTCACATGCTACAACCTGGGAAAACCCTAAGGATATGACAATAAGTTAAAAGATAAATACTCATACATGGTGTCTAAAGTAGAAAAATTCAAGCATAAACTAGAAAGTGGTTATATACACTGGGGGGTGGGGCTACAGGAATCATGCAATGGGTACACAATTGCAAAGTTGATGAGATTATTCTAA